TTTCTTTTTTTTTTTCCTCCTCCTCCTCCTCCTCCCCCTCCCCCCTCCTTTCTCCCCCCTCCTCCCTCCTAAATGAAATTACATACATCTGCTGGCTTAGAGTATCACAAATGTCCACACACTCACCGGTGTCGCTGCACACATCCACGCGCCTGCCTTTTGTCGGCGGTGACGCAGCGGCCCAGAGCTCCCTCTGTGTGTGTGTGTGTGTGTGTGTGTGTGTGTGTGTGACAGGAAACGACACATTATTTGTGCGGCTTTTCTGAACAGATCAGTTCGATCGTGAGCCTCTGTTGTTGCTGCTGTAAAATCTGTTTCTTTCTGTTCTGGTTGTTGGTTCGACGCCAGTTTTTTCCACCAATCCGGTGAAACCACAAACACTTTATACTTTTACAGGCGGGTCGTTGGAGTCGCCATCTTTTACTGACTGTTTTTACCAGTGATTCAGGCGTCCAAATTAAACCACTGAGTGACAGTAAATACAGGACAGAATGAGGTCATAAAAACAAAACAAATCTACATTAAAATCCAGCCAAAAATGGTAGAAAAATAATGCAAAAAAAAAGCTCAAAGACATTTCTACAATTTTTTGCAGAAATATAACAAAAATATTAAAATTTATCGTAAAGAAAATGATTTGATTCTTGCAGAAAAACTGACGCAAAAAAACGCTAAGAAGTAAAATGAGTCACATATTTTGCAAAAAAATAACAAAAAGAATTCAAATATGAAAAAAAAAACAACAAACAAAAACAAGAGTAGCTAAAACTAGTTATGTAGCTAACTAACAGATGACCAATCACTAACCCGTCAACATCTTGACCAATTGAAGCTGTTTCTGTTAAAGTCATGTGACTCCTGAGTTTAAGTTAAGTTAAGCTTCAGTCCCAGGCTAACATTAACCAGGCACCCCAGCCCTTCCCTCCTGTGTGTGTGTGTGTGTGTGTGTGTGTGTGTTTTATTGAAGCCCTGCTGCTCTGTGATTGGTCGGTCAGGTGTTGCCTTACAGTCAGGGGCCGTAATCTCTGACTTAATCCCACCCTGCCTGAAGTCGTATCGACGTGGAGTGAAAAAAAAAAAACAACACACACACACACACACACACACACCGTGACTCTGCAGCAGCTGAAACAATGAACTGAGTTTTTTATTTTTTGATGCTGTGATTCAGTCACTGGTCAAATCCTTCTTCTTCTTCTGTCTCTGTGACGTCACGTGTCTCTGTTTGTGATGTCACGTGTCACATGACGCCTACACTCTGTTTGAAACATCCATCTGACGTGTGTGTGTGTGTGTGTGTTTGCTGTGTTTTCCAGGAAACAACAAGGAGGAGGAGGAGGCCATGATGCAGGAGTGGTTCATGTTGGTCAACAAGAAGAACGCCCTGATCCGACGACAGAACCAGCTGTCTCTGCTGTGAGTAGCCGCACTTCCTGTCTCCACGTTACAGTTTTGAGGAAACGTCAGAAGTCGGTTGAGTGTTTTAGTCACCGATCGCAGACGTACGTTTCTGCTCTGGGAGAGAGAGAGAGAGAGAGAGAGAGAGAGAGACGGAGTTAGAAAAGAACAAAACACAGAAGAAGATCAGGGTTTTTGAAGGTTAGTTTTGGAGATGAAGGTTTGAGATGTTTGGATGAGAAGAAGAGGAAAAAAGACTCAGAGATGTTGAACTGAAACACGACCTGAAGAAACAGACGAAACGAACGAATCAAAGTTTGTCTTTATTTTAAACCGTGGATCTTAGAGACAGGAAACGCTTCATTTATTTTTTTATTTATTTTTTTTTCTCTGAGTCTTTTTTTTGTTTCGAGCACTACATCAAAATGGTTGAGTGTACAGCAGGTGGCGCTGTACTGCACTCGGCGCCCGCCCTCCTCTGTTCATACACACTCATTGATTTACATGATGACAGAAAATGGAATCAATAGGATCAGGATCCATCCATCGGTGTGTGTGTGTAGTCAGCTGTCACACACACACACACACACACACACTCTTCATGTGCAGAGTAGAGATGGCCTGTAGGAGGAGCAGCAGCAGGAGGAGGAGGAGGAGGAGGAGGAGAGATTGAAGTATTCATAATCACATTCCATCGTGGGAGAGGCTTTTTGTCCAGTCGACAGACGCTGATGATGAGCTGCTGCTGCTGCTCCTCCTACAGGCCATCTCTACTCTGCACATGAAGAGTGTGTGGGTGTGTGTGTGTGCGCGCAGTACAAATTGATTTCTTTCCTCTTTCAGCCATATAAAAACATTAACTAATTCAGCCTCTAATAGAATTTGTCCTCCACAGAGTTTTTTTTTTTCCCCCCACAAGGAGCAGCAGCAGCAGGAGAAGGAGGAGGAGAGATTGAAGTATTCATAATCACATTCCATCGTGGGAGAGCCTTTCCGCCCAGTCGACAGACGCTGATGATGAGCTGCTGCTGCTGCTGGTGCTGCTGCTCTTTGTGGAGGGAAAAAAAATCTTCTGTGAAGGACAAATTCTATTAGAGGCTGAATTAGTTCATGTTTTAATATGGCTGAAAGAGGAAAGAATTCAATTTGGACTGCGCACACACACGTCACACACACACACACGTCACACACACACACACACGTCACACACACACACACCTGTGACGTGTCCACAGATGTGCATTTACGTCCTCTTTTACCCCCTGTTTTTTTCCCCTGTCGTCTCTCACACACACACACACATGAACATGAACACACACTCTCTCACCCAGGGCAGTGTGTGTGTGTGTGTGTGTGAGTGTGTGTGTGTGTGTGTGTGTGTGTATCACTCATGTGTCAGTAGATTAATGCAGAGCCAGAGAAAGTCCAGACCAGTGGAGCAATCAATGTTTATTGCAGGTTTCTTTAAGTACTTAATGATTTAGTCATTAACATATTGATGAAGTGTGTGTCTAACTCTCTCTCTCTCTCTCTCTCTCGCTCTCTCTCTCTCTCTCTCTCTCTCTAACTCTCTCTGTCTTTTTCGCCACAGGGAGAAAGAGCACGATCTGGAGAGACGCTTCGAACTGTTGAACAGAGAGCTGAGAGCCATGCTGGCCATCGAGGGTAGGACGAACCTACACACACACACACACACACACACACACACACACACCCATCACCCTCCTCAGCGTCTGATTGGCTGCTTTGTCACCTCTTTAACCTGGAGGTCAGTCTCTGTTTTGCGTTTGTCATTAGAATCAAAAACAACAAAATGAAATTTTAAATATTTTCGTTGCGGCTCCGACTGTTGGTTCTAAATTTATCATTTTCTGTCTCTTTTTTTTATATTTGATCTAAATGTAAATATTGTATTTTCACCTGGAGACGTTGGAGCTCAGACACAGTCGTTCAGTAAGACTGTAGTCTCTGGGTTACATTCTGATGAGTCCATGGGAAACAGTTAGTTTGGTGAATGGAGGTCGGACCAGAAGCTACAATGTAGCTGGAAAACAAAAACAAAAAAATGCTTCTAGCATTG